TTTTGATCTTAATGATCTTAACTGCTTCCCCAGCTTTTTTTTTTCTTATTTTAATTATTAACACTTAACAATTTACAGACATATACAATACAAAACAACCATATTCACAATGCATTAAAAACCCATCACCCTACGAGAGTTCTCAGGCTGACATTTACCCTTGTTCCATTCTTATTTTTCTGTTGATTTGACATGTTCCGTAATTTTTTATCCCAGATATCCCAAAGACTGGAATTTTTACTTAAGCATTTGCAGTAGTCTTTTTCCATTTTGATTTGGTAAGCCAATTGTGAAGCTATTTGTTTAATAGTAAAAGCATTTTCACCCTTCCCGTTTCTTGCTATCACTATCTTACAAGCCATTAAACAGTGAGTGATCAGAAATTGAACTATTTTCTTTAAATTTGGCCAATAACTATGTAATAGCATTAGTTCTGGTTTTAAAAATATTTTAACATCACATAATTTATGTATAAAATGTTGGGCCCACTGCCACACCACAAACACTTTCGTGCTTGACCACCACATATGTAAGTAGTTCCCTTTCTCTTCTCCACAATTCCAACAATGGTCATTAGTTCCCATGGCAAATTTTGATACTTTAACTGGTGTCATATACCATAAATTAAGCAATTAAGTTTCTATTAATGAAAGCAAATGGACGTATTTATTGATTTAATAGTCGGAGGATATCCATTCCTTTACATCTATACTTTTCTTTAAATCAATATTCCAATTTTTAATGGCAGTAGGGGTTTCTGAATGATATATGCCCTCTAGAATTTTGACACATCTGGAAAACCGTTGCTTTACTTTATTCTGATGTAAAATAGTTTTTAAAATATCATACAGGTTACCTTCTGCATCTAATGTAACATTCTCTCGATAATGTTTGAACCTAATATAGGTAAAGATATCTTTGACCGTAACATGGAACTCATCTACCAACATTTTAAAAGATTTTATTTTATTGTCTTTAAATAGATCTTTAAGTGCGTTAATCTGTTTGTCTTTCCATGTTTTCAAGGAAATGTTGTTCATACTGATTTCCAATACGTTCAAACTTTAAAAGTCAAATATTTTATTATCCATATTAATTTTTTTTTATAACTTTTTGCCATATTGGAATAATTTGCTTAAAAATATATGATCTAGATAACTAGAGTGTTTTTATGTTCCAGATTAAATCTAAAGGATCTCTTACTTGACTATCTTCCAGTTCTATACTAAGCCATATTTCTTCTTTATTTTGTTTTAGCTGACTTGCCATAACAGGCATAATAATCCCTGCTTTGTAGTATTTTATTATATTTGGATAGCATAAACTTCCATTTTTAATTAGTCTTGATAACACTGCGTTTTAAATTCTGGGGTTTTTTTTCCCTCGCCATACAAAATTTGAAAAGGCCGTTTTTATCATTGCTAGCCATGGCTTCGGAATTTCTAATGGAAGCATCCTAAACAAACAGATTCATTTCCGCAGGACATATGATTTTAAAATATTTATTCTGCCTCCCCATGATACTTCTAATTTTCTCCATTATTTTAGATTTTTATTAGTTTCCTTTAAGAGATCCAAAAAATGTATACGCGTAATACTGTTAATATAAAATATATAGAAACTAAAAAAAGAGTCAAAAACCAGTCGACTAGGTGGGTCTTACTACCCACTCTTCAACCCTTACAAGGTTCTTGTGGTAGAGGCTAAGCCTCGAGCGGGGGGAACGATCATGGTTCTAACTTTCTTTCTTTTAAAAAGTATTAAAAAGTTGAGAGACTTTTTATTTCTATCATCGTACACCTCCTATTATCTATTCAATCCTTTTTTCAATTCTTTTTTAAAAAAATAATAATGTACATTCTGCTTTCTTTAAATAGACCTAATTTTCCTATATATCCCAGCCTAAATTATTAATATAAACTACAGAATAATTCGATTTTGGCCTATTCTTAAACTGACACATAGAAGAGGGAGAGAGAAAAAAACAAAAAACCTTATTCTACAATTTTTATTTGATACGTTTGTGCCTCTTATTATAATGATTCTCATCCATGTAGAATTACATTTGTGTCAAATTATGTGAAAACACCATAATCGTGTACTATATTGTAGATTAGTGTTTATGTTAGTTGCTACTTTATTTCCCGCATAGTTCATATTTTTCCTTCTAATTCCCGTACTATATTTTCCGCATACTTTCCTACATTCTATACTACCTATATGAATATTATATCTTGTGTTACCAATGGATCACACCTTATAGTATTATCTAGTGTTATCTTTCTCTTTACCTTTAACCTATTTTAAATGCCGCATAGCTTCACCAATACTTTGTAATGTGATAAGCGTATAGACAATACAATTCAATTAGAATACTAAATTGAACTTATAAACATCTCCCCCTAAATATTGATAGTCCAAAAATAAAAAGTCCCTTCCCATTTATCCTTTTCTCCTTTTTTGTTCCTGTCTCTCCTCTATCTTCTTCATTTTCTTTTTCCAATCCTGTAGTTTAAGTCTTGGTTTTCATTTTCTTCAATGTCATCTTCAGTGATGCTATTTTTTATTTTTGAGCCATTCTTCAATCTGTGTTGGGGTTTCGAATGTCTCTGCTATTCCTTCTGTGATGGTCCTTATTTTACTAGGATAGCTCCAAGAATATTTTATGTTTAAGCTTCTTAAAGAACTCGTAACCGCCATAAATTTCCTTCTTTGTAATCTTGTGAAAAAAAGATGAATCTTGAAATATCTGATATTTCTAAACTCTTCTTCTTTAATCGATTTTGTTCGAGCCGCATATAGTATGGCTTCTTTAAACTGAAAGGATTGAACGTTTATTATTATATCTCTCAGTAGCTGTTGAGGAATCATCTTTGGTTTTAATAAGCGATGATATCTTTCCATACTGATATTAAAACTGGACAGTTCTATATTAAGTACCGACCCTAATTTGCCAAGGTACTTAGGAATTTGTTCATGTGTGATCGACTCTGGAACGTTTCTTATTCATAAATTGTTTCTTCTTGTGCGATCCTCAAGATCCCCTATTTTTCCTTCCATTTGTCTTAGTTGGATATTTAATTATTCATTTTGCTCTTTAAGTACACTTCCTTCAAATTCTAGAGATGTGATTTTTTATTCGTTTAATTGAAATTTTTCTGTTATTTCCATTAGCTGATTTTTTATATCTGCAGAATTATTATTTAATTCAATTGTTCTTCCAGGCACTGTTTCAGAAAGTCTGCTGTGATGTAGTTTCCCGTTTGGCTGGAAGAGCTTTGCATGGACTCTTCACATGTTGACGAGGAGAGAGACAAATTTTCTAGTTTTTTTTTTTTATAGTCGCTTAATTCACTGGTAGAAAAAAACTTGATGGTTATTTTTCAGATTTTGAATCCTTCTTTCTTTCCTTTTTAGCAGACACCTTCTCTATGGATTTAGATGGCATGGTCTGTAATGCGATTGAGCCTTACTTCTTGCATGAAAATGCTGAATATTTTTAGATTTTTCAGTTGAGAGAACGTAAAGGTAGGAGACTTGTAAATATGCATTTAGTACATCTGCCTCCTTTTTTTTTGGCTTCTCCTTTCCCTATATCTCTAACCCCTTACTTAATTGCTCGAAAGCTTTTGCTCTCAGGGGTATTGCGATCTGAGGGATTTTTCCTTAAAAGACCACTATAGGCACCCAGACCTCTTCAGCTTAATGAAGTGGTCTGGGTGCCAGGTCCAGATAGGATTAACCCTTTTTTTTTATAAACATAGCAGTTTCAGAGAAACTGCTATGTTTACACTGAGGGTTAATCCAGCCTCTAAAGCCTCTAGTGGCTGTCTCATTGACAGCCGCTAGAGGTGCTTGCGTGCTTCTCACTGTGAAAATCACAGTGAGAAGACGCCAGCGTCCATAGGAAAGCATTCCTATGAGACTGGCTGAATGCGCGCACGGCTCCTGCCGCGCATGCGCATTCAGCCGATGACGTCGCTAGGAAGAAGGAGAGGAGGAGGAAAGCTCCCCGCCCGGCGCTGGAGAAAGGTAAGTGTTTAACCCCTTCCTCTCCCCAGAGCCCGGCGGGAGGGGGACCCGGAGGGTGGGGGCACCCTCAGGGCACTATAGTGCCAGGAAAACGAGTATGTTTTCCTGGCACTATAGTGGTCCTTTAACAATGCCAACTGAGCTGAGGACAATAATCTTTATTTACTTTTCTCTCACCCTTTTCCTTTGCATTCTCTTCCTTGATATTTCTGAAAAAATGTCTCTCTTCTTATTTTATAAGAGCTCTGTGAAGAAATCCCCTTTTATTACACTATTTTCTGCCTATTGCATTCGGTAGATATAACTACTGAACAAAGACCACCCCCCCTGGCTCGTTAAACATCAAAGACTGCTTCAATTGATGCTTCTGTCTGTGCGGCCAGCGTTCGTACTGCCGAACGCCACGTGGCAGAGAAAACTGCAGCCATATTTGTTCATGCGAACAAAGGCAGCGGGACTTGGTCGTCGAGTGTATGGAACTGAAATCGGCCACTCGACTTCCCGAACACCGGTCTCAAACAGACAAATGCTGGAACTCTACCTACCGAATAGCTAGCAGAGCGCTATTCGGTACTTTGGTGCATTCGACAGAGGGGAACGATCGCTGCTAAGAGCCAGGGGGATCCATTCGGTACTTTGTTCGCTTTTCTCCTTTTTCTAAAGTGACCGGCAAAACCCACCAAACTCATGGAACTGTTTTGGGCATACAAACCAGGGTGAGCCAATCACAGAAAACCTCCATAGTTTTTGAGAACCCCTGAACCGATCTGGGTGAACTTCGGCTATGTTGGTCACCCAGATCAGGGCCATCAGGGGACATGTTATTTGTGGGGATACTCCAAGTATAAAGGGGTGTTCCAGTTATTGGGGGAAAATGTGATTTTTCTGCCTGGAGATAATTAAGTTATTATTTTATCAGACTTAATTATCTCCAGAGCTAGGGGAGGGAACTGTGGGTGTGTGTTATGTTTTTACAGTATATGATTGGTTAATCTTTGTCCCTCCCTGAGGGATGTCCCCTTGCATGGGGACTTGCATAAAAGCCTGTGTGCACCCATTAAAAGTTAGTTCATTTTGTACCCTTCTTGACTTCGGCTGATGTTTGGGGATTCGTGTGTTTCACTAAGGGAATCATCTTGTGAAGCTATTGGGATTACTATATGGTTCGTTTACCCTATCTACCGAACAGAGGGCTATAATCACTAAGGCTCTGGCGATTCAGGAGGAAACTACCAAATGAGGTTTAAATACACTTGGTTTCTTTACAAGCTACGCCTGTTTTTTATATTTTTCTTTTTTTTTTATTTAAATTTTCCTTTTTTTTTTTTTTTTTTTTACAGGCTTTATGTGAAGTAATACAAAATCTGTTTTTCTTTTGCAGGTGTCGCTTGTTACTGCTACAAGATTTCAATTCTTTAGCTTTAGGGAAAAAAAAACATAAAAAAAGAGCAGAGGAGCGGGATAAGCCCAAGTTAAAGTGTTGTTATATACTAATTGAAAGCAGTCTCCTTTACTATTTTGCTTACGTCCCGCCTTTCCTCCTTTGCTTATCCCCTGTTCACTCTTTCTTTTTCTTTGTGCTTTCTGATTTCCTTAATATTTCAATTTCTCTCTTTCTTTCTTTATCTATCCCAATTTGCTTTCTCTTGTGGCAAAACTAGCCACTTGAAACTGTATTGGTATTAATGTTGCTTTAAGCATGTAGAACCAAGCGTATACATATTGCTGTATTTTAGCCGAACAAGAGCATTCGTATGCTGGCGGTATAAAGCCACCAGCATTCATAAAGTAGTTTCCCGAACAGTGAATTTCAACACTGTTCGTGAAACGAACAAACTACCGAATGGGAGACCACACACAGGAGGTCGTGTGGCTCCCATTAAATATTGCAACATTGTTTCCATCGGTAATTATAGAGATTCAGGGTGGCCGTGCGGCGGTCGGCCATCTTGGATCCTTTGTTAGCCCAGCGGTATTTGGTCGTCGAGCGCCTGGAACTAAATTCGGCTACTCGACAGCACGAATAGCGCTGGACTTCCAGGCCGTTCGAGAGCCCCGGTCATTCCGTGGTTTGTTCCCCTACTGTCAATCGGTACTTTGAATGTAACTAGAAAATAATGTGTGTTTCGTGTAGCGTTCGGTTAGTTATGCTGGGATATGAGCGGTACTTTCACAAACTGTGCGCTCAGACCCCAGCTATCTACCAAAAGTCCATTCGTTTAAATAAAGTGAATAATGTAAAAGCTATACATTTTCAGGTGAAATGTCGGTTCTGCTGCACGGAGGGATAATCCACTTAACTGGATATTGTAGTGGGAGTATCCCTCTCGTACAGCAGTGCATGATGGGAGAAATGTCCAGGTTGTTAAGTTCCCCATGTAGTCCCCTACTGTACAACCCCTGTAATGTCAGTAGGGAAACCCCTTGCATGGGGAATCCCATAAATACTGTGACCTGTGATTAAAAGCTCAGTTGACTCCCAGCCTATGTGTCGTCTAGTTCTTGGGAAGGAAGGATTCATACAACGCTACCGAGATTATTGTATGCTGTGCTTATTTTCCTGGATTATTTTATGCTGTTCCTGTTTCCCAGCGGAGATACCGTGGATTATACTACCTCTCCGCTACAATTGGTGGCAAGCAACGGGATTTAAACCACACAGCAAAGCAGCGTTCTGCAGAAATTAAAACGAACAGAAGAGAAGAAACAGCAATTCGTGAGTTAAACCATTTGGATGAAACCGGACTTCGGGAATACGTGGAAACACACGAACAGCTGGTGAATGGGAGCGAATTATGCACTTTTGAAACGGAGCACATTAAAAGAATTTCTGGAGGCAAGAGGGACAATAGCCAGCAACAAGGCAAAGGCTATCCTGATTGCGGAGCTAATGGAAGGAGACAAAGCAGCAGCTGCTGCAGCACCTCCAAGGGAGGAGGAACAAATTTAATTCCAGAAAGAATTCAGGAGTAGGTTGGCTCTATTTCCAACCCCACCATCTGAAGAGATGTTCAACAGGATCTTCGCAGACGTACAAGAATACATCCTGGTCAGAGGGGCGCAGACAAACCAGCAAGCCGGAGAAAGAGCCACGGCACCTGTCATCATCACTCCAGGGAAAGCCAAAATTCCCAATCAAGCATTTAAGAGTTATACAGAAGCTGATGGTGGTGTAGATGACTACCTGCAGGATTTTGAGAGGTTGTGCCAACTACACGACATTAGCGCGGCAGATCGGGTACCTCTACTAGCAGGGAGACTATCCAGACGCGCAGCAGAGGCGTACAGGGCCGTGCCAGATGAGGACAGTAGAGACTATGATAAAATAAAGTAAGCAATTTTAGCCCGGTATGCGATTACCTCAGAGGCATACTGCCTAAAGTTTCGGGACATCAAAAAACCGACAAAAGACACCCACGTAGAGTGGGCGCACCGCCTGCAGCGAGCTGCAAAGGGCTGGTTAGAAGCCACCCAAGTTAACACACTAGAGGACCTGTTCCAGTTAATGGTTCATGGAATAGTTCTTCGATGGGATACTGTCCCACCTACAAAATTGGGTAAGGGACCGAAAACCACACACCCTGCAGGAGGCCGCCAAGCTGGCGGACGAGTTCCTAGATACCCGGAGGGACCAGCGCACCCAAAACCGACCAGTCTATAACCCTACACCAACGATCCCAGCACTGACCTCCACCACCCAGCCAGGACCTGGGGTAAGCCAAAATACCTACACCCCCAGGTACCCTGCACGTCCTCCGATTCATTGCAACACCTGCAACCAGCAGGTGCACATCCAGCGAGACTGCCCACGCAACCGACCCAGGCCAAGCTGGAATAATACAGCACCGAGCAACCGAGCAACCATACACTGTGTGCAAACAGAACAGTATGGAGCACCCGAGACCGTCACTCCAATGGAAGAACAGCTGGGGACGCTGCATGAGGTGAACCCCATCCAGGTCGCCTCAGATAACCGGCAAGGACACCGACAGGAGGTACATATGGGGGGGGGGAAAGGTACAAGGACTTCGCGCCTCTGGGGCCACCTTAACGCTAGTCTGGAATCATTTGGTGCCTAAAAACAATCTAACTGTGTTGCTGTACGGGTGGCAGGGGGGGCAATTTACAAAGTACCTACTGCTAAGGTACATTTGAATTGGGGAGCGGGGCATGGGAATGTGGAGGTGGGGATGATGCAGAATTTACCCGCTGACGTCATTTTGGGCAATGACCTGGGGGAGCTGACTTCAGCTTTTGTTCCTCAATCCACCGTACAGGAAGCATATCCAGTTGTGACCCGGCAACAGGCCCGCACCACGGCCCCCCTAACCACTCTGAGGCTCAGGTAAGCCATGAACTTCCCATACCAGCTGTCATGCCCTGGGCGACCCCCCTAGAATTTGGCCCTAGATCCCTCCCTGCAGATCTACAAAGATCGCATAAATAAAGACCAGGCAGGATTAGAAGGGGAGAGATACACCTGGGACAAGGGACTACTGTACCGCCATGCAGAAAAAGTAGTGTCCGGATCCATACCCTTACCAATTAAACAGTTAATAGTGCCTTGGAAGTATAGACTGGAACTATTACGCATCGCCCATGATATTCCCCTGTCTGGACACTTAGGAATCAGCCACACTAAGCACAGGCTGACCCAGAACTTCTTTTGGCCAGGTATCTCTCAGGACGTTAGACGATATTGCCAGACCTGTGATACCTGCCAGAGGGTAGGGAAGAGGGGAGACCGATACAAAGCTCGGCTCCGTTCTCTCCCCATAATTGAGGAACCCTTCAATAGGGTGGCGGTAGATAGTATAGGACCCCTAGCAAAACCCAGCCCCTCTGGCAAGAGATATGTCTTGACCGTGGTGGATTATGCCACCAGATGCCCTGATGCGAATATTCACCCGCGTGGGATAGGGGCACTCAGTTTACCGCCGAAGTCGCACACCAGCTCTGGAAGATATGTGGGGTACAACAAATCTTGAACTCCGCTTATCACCCCCAGTCTAATGGGCTCTGTGAATGATTTAACGGAACACTCAAACAGATGATCCGTACGTTCATAGACACTCAGAAGGACTGGGAAAGGTTTTTACCCCACTTGTTATTCGCCTATAGGGAAGTACCCCAAGAATCCACCGGGTTCTCTCCTTTTGAACTGTTATTCGGGAGGAGAGTGAGGGGCCCCCTTGATTTAATCCGGGAACACTGGGAGGGAGAAGGGACTATTAACGGCACACCCATCGTACCCTATGTGCTAGAGTTTAGGGAACGCCTGGAGGTGCTGACCCAGACCGTACGCGACAACCTCCCAGCGGCCCAACAACGACAGCGCAGATGGTACGATAAGTGAGCCAGGAACCGCAGCTTTCAGGTGGGGCAAAAAGTACTAATCCTACTACCCGTCCACAAGGACAAGCTGCAGACTTCCTGGCAGGGCCCATACAAGGTGGTAGAACAGATCTGTGATACCACCTATGTGATCGTTCCGGCCACAGGCGCAGGAGGCAAACGCATGCTCCATGTAAACATGCTCAAGCCATACCATGAGCGCACCGAAGAGGTAACCGCGATCTGTGCCCGTGCTACAGAGGATTTCGATAATTTGCCACTCCCAGACCTCCTAGACCAAGAGTGCCAGAGCGGAGACCTGGGAGAAGTACAGTTAAGAGAGCGGTTAAACCCCCAGGAGCGAACCCAAGCTAATCCAGGAAAAGGGAGCCACTTTTCCCAATCTACCCGGGTATACCCCGTTAGCCACTCACAAGGTAGAAACCCTAGACCAGACTCCCCTTCGCCAAACCCCTTATCGCATACCAGAATCCATCAAAGAAAGTATGCAGAAGGAGATTGATGAAATGTTACGGTTAGGGGTGATAGAACATAGGGGTTCAGTACCTAGGGCACCGGGTATGAAGCGGGCAACAGAAACCTTACTTTTCAGCGCTTGACTGTGGATTACCTTCTATACCAGCGGAGATCGTGGAATTTAATATTGCAGCTCTGCTACACCCAGCTTTAACCCCTTAAGGACCAAACTTCTGGAATAAAAGGGAATCATGACATGTCACACATGTCATCTGTTCCTAAGGGGTTAAGGGTCTTTTCTTTTTATATCCATAAGCAAGAACTACCTTGAGTCCTTTACAGTAATTACTGACCCCACAGCTTCATTAACATCTCACCTGTCAGGGGGAATTACTAGGTCATCACGTGTTTAACATTTTATTTCTGTCTTGCAAATTGTTTCATAAATCGCCACTCCTTCTTCTGGCTCCTCCATACAGCTGTTTGAAGAAGATTATAATATCTGTAAGTTCATACATTTCTATTTATTTATTTAACAGTTCTTCTATAGCGCTCTAATCCAAAGTGCTTTCTATATTACATAAAGGGGCGTTGGTAATTCTACAAACAGGGGACACATAACTAGACAGTAAAACAAAAGAAGAGCTCTGCCTGTGAGCTTACAGTCTAGAGGGGAAATGTATATTGAGGCAAGAGGTTGCGGGGAGGAATACTATTGTGAAGTAAGAGAAATGTATCCGTGATTTTACCGTTATAAGGTTTACATTATAAGGTTTACAATCAGTATACCGTACACGGTGAGTATGGAGAAAATATAAATTCGATTCAATGCAAAATCACTGTGCACTAATTGTGGAGACAGTTGAAGACAATGAGTATACAGTAAGTAAATTATAGAAAATATACAAAACACTAGGTTCACAAGACGTCAGGAGGAACCCTTGCTCATAGAGTAGGGACCTGCAGAATGCTGTAAGAGACATGGCAGGCTGAATGGAGAGAGTGTGGACAGTGTGGACAAGGAGAGTATAGTCTTTTCTTATTTAACGTTACACAAAGCTGTGCAACAATCTGCAAGCGATCTGGGAAAGATGGCGAGTGAGCTGTTGGATGAAGAATTGGTTAGTGAGATGCACAACAAATGGGTTAAACTGAAGGGGGGGGGGTGAGTCACATGGTGTTATTAACTCTTTACATAGTACATGCAACAGATGGAAATCCAGAGTACAGATACAAAGCAATTAGTTTCTTATCTCATTACCTGCAGATTTGTAAACAGTCACAGAATCCATTCCAACAGCAATCTTTGCAGAGTCTGAATTTGCTGCAATATAAAAATACAGTGTCATAGAGACTTAAACGCAAGAAGGAGGGGGAGCGATAACCAAAATCACTGGTGAGAGGGTAACATAAACACAGGAATATATTAGGCTAATAACAGACAGGCTGTTAATAAAGAATGCCAAAGTAAACAGCACTAACGTTTTGATAAACTAATTTAGAGTGTGACCATGATCTATACAGCTATATTGCTTTATTAAGCTAAAGATGTTTTGGTGACTATAGTGTCCCTTTAGGGGTCCATTCTTTTTATACTTTAAGGGTCCTTTTCCATTTTCCCATAAACAATAACTATAACTTTAGTCTGTTACAGTAATAGCCCTCCTCCCCCCCCTCCTCCTCCCGCTTCATTAGCTCACCTGTCAGGGATAACTACTGTAACTCTGGGTATTTCATCTTTTATTTCCTCGTCCCCAGATGGTTCATCAATCACCTCGTATACTGGTTCTTCAACCGTCTCAATACAGCTGTTTGCAAGAAGATTATAGCAGATTATAATTCCGTTATAATTCTGTATATTGAGATTCACTCTATAGAATCCCATAGAGAGAAATGGTCCAGCATTGACACTATGAAGCACTGAGATGTTTCCTTCACTAACTTTCATCAGCTTCACTGACATCTCACCTGTCAAGGGGAATTACTGGGACATCGGGTGTATGATCGCTTATATCCTCATCCCGAGACGGTTCACCAATCCCCCCGTATACTGGTTCTTCAACCGGTTTAATACAGCTGTTTGCAAGAAGATTATAGCATATTATAATTCCGTTATATTTCTATATATCGAGATTCACTCTATAGTCCAGCATTGACTCTATGAAGCACTGAGATGTTTCCTTCACTAACTTTCATCAGCTTCACTAACATCTCACCTGTCAGGGGGAATTACTGGGACATCGGCTGTTTGATCGCTTATATCCTCGTCCTCAGATGGTTCATCAATCACCTCGTATACTGGTTCTTCAACCGTTTTAATACAGCTGTTTGCAAGAAGATTATAGCAGATTATGATTCCGTTATAATTCTATATATCGAGATTCACTCTATAGAATCCCATAGAGAGAAATGGTCCAGCATTGACACTATGAAGCACTGAGATGTTTCCTTCACTAACTTTCATCAGCTTCACTGACATCTCACCTGTCAGGGGGAATTACTGGGACATCGGGTGTTTTAAATTTTATTTCTGTCTTGCAAAATGGTTCATAAATCGCCACTCTTTCTTCTGGCTCCTTCATACAGCTGTTTGAAGAAGATTATAATATCTGTGAGTTCATACATTTCTATTTATTTATTTAACAGTTCTTCTATAGCGCTCTAATCCAAAGTGCTTTCTATATTACATAAAGGGGCGTTGGTAATTCTACAAACAGGGGACACATAACTAGACAGTAAAACAAAAGAAGAGCTCTGCCTGTGAGCTTACAATCCAGAGGGGAAATATATATTGAGGCAAGAGGTTGTGTGGGGGAATACTATTGTGAAGTAAGAGAAATGTATCCATGATTTTACAATTATAAGGATTACTGGTTTACAATCAGTAAAATTTAAATTAGATTCAATGTGCACTAATTGTGGAGACAATAGAAGACAATGAGTATACAGTAAGTAAATTATAGAAAATATACAAAACACTAGGTTCACAAGACGTCAGGAAGAACCCTTGCTCAGAGAGTAGGGACCTGCAGAATGCTGTAAGAGACATGACAGGCTGAATGGAGAGAGTGTGGACAGGTGGGCGTAATGATAAGATGAGTTTAGTTAAAGGAGAGTATTGTCTTTTCTTATTTAACATTATACAAAGCTGTGCAACAATCTGCAAGCGATCTGGGAAAGATGGTGAGTGAGCTGTTGGATGAAGAATTGGTTAGTGAGATGCAGAACAAATGGGTTAAACTGAAGGAGGTGAGTCACATGGTGTTATTAACTCTTTACATAGTACTAATGATGTCGCGAACATAAAATTTTCGGTTCTCGAATGGCGAACGCAAACTTCCGCAAATGTTCGCGAACTGGCGAACCGGGCCAACCGCCATAGACTTCAATAGGCAGGCGAATTTTAAAACCCACAGGGACTCTTTCTGGCCGCAATAGTGATGGAAAAGTTGTTTCAAGGGGACTAACACCTGGACTGTGGCATGCCGGAGGGGGATCCATGGCAAAACTCCCATGGAAAATTACATAGTTGATGCAGAGTTTGGTTTTAATCCATAAAGGGCATAAATCACCTAACATTCCTAAATTGTTTGGAATAACGTGCTTTAAAACATCAGGTATGATGTTGTATTGATCAGGTAGTGTAAGGGTTATGCCCGCTTCACAGTGACAGATTAAACTCCCCGTTTAACGCACCGCAAACAACCGCAAACAGTCCATTTGCACAACCGCAAACTCCCCATTTGCACAAGGTTGGATACCAAGCTAGCCATGTCCCGTTCCATGTCCTCACTGATGTCATTGAAGGTCTCTTCCTCCACCCAGCCACGTACAACACCAAGGGTCCCCAAAAGGTGACAACAAGCCCCCTGGGACGCCTGCTGTGTTTGGTCTTCCACCTCCTCAAAGCCACCTTCCTGCTCTGACTCCTCTTCTTCAGACTCCTCTCTCTGCGTTGCCTCTCTCTGCGTTATTATAAGGTGTGTTAAGTAGTACTATTCCTATCAGTTTAATCCCTGTTACGTCCCCTATCAGGGGACGTGTATATGGCATCGATTTTAGGAACCGGGAGATGGAAAAAGATGCTTGGTCGGTCCTCCTACTTCAAATGTGGGGCACTGCACGTGCAATCTAATGTGCCACCAGATAGGAGTGGTGTGTTAAGTAGTACTATTCTTATCAGTTTAATCCCAATGTCACGACTACTAGTGTGGTCCAGCACGCAGAAACTATGTAAACATATACATAGGCAAGAAAAGGAAAATAAATGGACAGAATGTAAACCAGACCTTAGAATGGCCGGACTAATACACTAGAGACAGAGAATGGTCAAATGGAAAGCCGAGGTCAAGGAAGCCAGAAAATACACAATACCGTTTACACAAGCCAAGTCAGGGAAACCAGAATTCAGAATAACCAGGGAAAAGCCAAGATCAGGATACCAGGAAATCAGATTCACAATTATAAAGCACTCTCGGGAAACCAGGAACAGGACTGGGGTGAGCTAGGGATTTAAATATCACACGGCAGGCCTGCAGCCGCGACACCCTGTTACGTCCCCCTCATCAGGCCTTTTTTAGTCGAATGTATCACCCACTGTCAGTCCCTTCGGGATCCATCCCTCATTCATCTTAATAAAGGTGAGGTAATCTAGACTTTTTTGACCTAGGCGACTTCTCTTCTCAGTGACAATACCTCCTGCTGCACTGAAGGTCCTTTCTGACAGGACACTTGAAGCGGGGCAGGCCAGAAGTTCTATCGCAAATTGGGATAGCTCAGGCCACAGGTCAAGCCTGCATACCCAGTAGTCAAGGGGTTCATCGCTCCTCAGAGTGTCGATATCTGCAGTTAAGGCGAGGTAGTCTGCTACCTGTCGGTCGAGTCGTTCTCTGAGGGTGGACCCCGAAGGGCTGTGACGATGCGTAGGACTTAAAAAGCTCTGCATGTCCTCCATCAACAACACGTCTGTAAAGCGTCCTGTCCTTGCCGGCCTTCCAATGTGTCGGGCTGTCGCAAATCAAGCGCCTCACTGGCATGTTTTTTCGCCGCTGGATATCTGAAAAGTGCGCCATCGCCATGTAGGAACGCCTGAAATGGCCACACACCTTCCTGGCCTGCTTCAGGACGTCCTGTAAGCATGGGTACTTATGCACAAAGCGTTGTACGATCAGATTACACACATGTGCCATGCACGGCACATGTGTCAACTTGCCCAAATGCAATGCCGCCAACAAATTTCTTCTGTTGCCACAAACCACTTTGCCGATCTCCAGTTGGTGCGGAGTCAGCCACTGATCCACCTGTGCGGACAGGAGTGCTGGTCCGGTGTGACTCTCTGCTTTCAGGCAAGTCAACCCCAAGACGGCGTGACACTGCCATATACGGGATGTGGGATAGTACCTGGGGAGCTGGGGGGGTGCCGTTGATGTGGAGCAAGACGCAGCAGCATAAGAGGACTCAGCCGAGGAGGTTATGGAAGAGGATGGAGTAGGAGGAGTAGAGGAGGTGGCAGCTGGCCTGCCTGCAAGTCGTGGCGGTGTCACCAACTCCTCTGCAGAGCCACGCATTCCATGCTTGGCAGCCGTCAGCAGGTTTAACCAATGCGCAGTGTAGGTGATATACCTGCCCTGACCATGCTTTGCAGACCAGGTATCAGTGGTCAGATGGACCCTTGCCAGAACACTGTGTGCCAGACATGCCATTACTTCCTTTTGCACAATCGAGTACAGGTTGGGGATTGCCTTTTGTTCAAAGAAATTTCGGCCGGCTACCTTCCACTGCGGTGTCCCAATAGCTACAAATTTTTTGAACGCCTCAGACTCCACCAGCTTGTATGGTAAAAGCTGGCGGGCTAAGAGTTCAGTCAAGCCAGCTGTCAGACGCCGGGCAAGGGGGTGACTTTGTGACATTGGCTTCTTACGCTCAAACATGTCCTTGACAGACACCTGACTGTGGGCAGATGAGCAGGAACTGCTCAAGGCGAGAGACGGAGGGGCGGATGGTTGAGAGGGGGCAAGGAGGACAGCAGTGGTTAACGTGGCTGAAGATGCTGGACCAGGAGGAGGATGGCGGCTTTGAGTTTGTGTGCTGCTTGTACTCATGTGTTGATCCCATAGGCGTTTGTGATGTGCGATCATGTGCCTACGCAAAGCAGTTGTACCTAGGTGGGTGTTGGACTTCCCACGACTCAGTTTCTTTTGGCACAGGTTGCAAATGGCATCGCTGTTGTCAGAGGCAGACACACAAAAAAAATGCCACACTGCTGAGCTCTGCAATGACGGCATTCTGGTGGTGGCAACAGCATGCGTTGATTGGCGTGCTGTCTGGCTGACCCCGGGTGCTGATGCATGCTGTCTGACTGTGCCACTAGCTCCTTGCGACGACCTCCCCCTGCTTCCAACTCGTCTCCTCCTCCTCCTCTCTGTCTCCCCATCTGAACTTTCCCCCTGTTTTTCTTCTCTTCTAGCGGGCACCCACGTGACATCCACGGACGCATCGTCATCATCAACCGCTTCACTTGTATCTGACATCTCAGCAAAGGAAGCAGCAGCGGGTACAACATCATCATCATCACACCATACGTCCATGTGTGTGTAATGCTGCCTGACTGAGACATATCCCTGTTATCTACATCCTCTGGCAATAATGGTTGCGCATCACTCATTTCTTCCAACTGATGTGTAAATAACTCCTCTGACATACCAAGTGAAGCTGCTGTGGTGCTAGTGTTGGTGGTGGCGGCGAGTGGTAACTTGAGAGGTGCCCAAAGCTAAGCTGGAGGAGGATGGTGTGTCAAGGTTCTGAGCGGAAGCTGTAGAAGATTGGGTGTCCTGTGTTAGCCAGTCAACTATGTCCTCAGAACTTTTCGAGTTTAGGGTACGTGGCCTCTGAACACTGGGCATTATTCTAGGGCCAAAGGGAATCACAGCACCACGACCACGACGGCCCCTGCGGGGTGGCCTGCCTCTGCCTGTCATTTTTTTTTCCATTAGTGGTACTATGCATGCAAGCTACTGTGACAACATATATGAGTGGCACTGTGCAGTGGCAGAAGTTGGCAGAGTAGACGCTGTAGGCCTGACACACACGCTTGCAGACAACTAACTGCTATTCAATCTATTACAATCAAAATTGTATTTTTTTTTTAAATATACACTACTGTTACACCAGATATGAGTTGCACTGGTGTGACACTGTGCCCTGGCAGGCCCTGAAACGCACACGTGTGAAGGAAACTGACTGCTATTATATTACAGTCCAAAAAGTTTTGGTTTTTTTAAATGCAAGCTATTGGGACACCAGTGAGTGAGTGGTGGCACTGGGCAGGCCCTGAAACGCACACTCGTGAAGAAAACTGACTGCTATTATATTACAGTCCAAAAAGTTTTGACTTTTTAAAATGCAAGCTATTGTAACACCAGGAGTGAGTGGTGGCACTGGGCAGGCCCTGAAACGCACACTCGTGAAGGAAACTGACTGCTATTATATTACAGTCCAAAAAGTTTTGTTTTTTTTAAATGCAAGCTATTGGGACACCAGTGAGTGAGTGGTGGCACTGGGCAGGCCCTGAAACGCACACTCGTGAAGGAAACTAACTGCTATTATATTACAGTCCAAAAAGTTTTGTTTTTTTTAAATGCAAGCTATTGTGACACCAGTGAGTGGTGGCACTGGGCAGGCCCTGAAACGCACATTCGTGAAGGAAACTGACTGCTATTATATTACAGTCCAAAAAGTTTTGGTTTTTTTTAAATGCAAGCTATTGGGACACCAGTGAGTGAGTGGTGGCACTGGGCAGGCCCTGAAATGCACACTCGTGAAGGAAACTGACTGCTATTATATTACAGTCAAAAAAGTTTTGTTTTTTTTAAATGCAAGCTATTGGGACACCAGTGAGTGAGTGGTGGCACTGGGCAGGCCCTGAAATGCACACTCGTGAAGGAAACTGACTGCTATTATATTACAGTCAAAAAAGTTTTGTTTTTTTTAAATGCAAGCTATTGTGACACCAGTGAGTGAGTGGTGGCACTGGGCAAGTGGGCACAGTATATGCTGTGAGCCTGACACACAGGCTGGCAGGCAGGCAACTGCAATTACATTACACAGAAAAAAAAAAGCAGACTGATGTTCTAGCCCTAAAAAGGGCTTTTTGGGGTGCTGTCCTTACAGCAGAGATCAGATGAGTCCTTCAGGACTGTAGTGGACACTGAATACACTAGCCTAGCTATCAATTTCCCTATCAAATCAGCAGCAGCTACACTGTCCCTCCTCTCACTAAGAATGCAGCTTCACAATGAATGTAAAATGGATGCTGTCCAGGAGGGTCTGGGAGGGAGGGTCTGCTGCTGATTGGCTGGAATGTGTCTGCTGACTGTGAGGTACAGGGTCAAAGTTTACTCAATGATGACGAATAGGGGGCGGACCGAACAGCGCATATGTTCGCCATCCGTGGCGAACGCGAACAAGCGATGTTCGCCAGGAACTATTCGCCGGTGAACAGTTCGGGACATCACTACATAGTACATGCAACAGATGGAAATTCAGTGTATAGATACAAAGCAATTAGTTTCTTATGTCATTACCTGCAGATTTTAAAAAAGTCACGGAGTACATTCCGACGGCACTCTTTGTAGAGTCTGATTTTGCTGCAATATAAAAAATACAGTGTTATAGAGACTTAAACGCAGGAAGGAGGGGGAGAGATAATCAAAATCACTGGTGAGAGGGTAACATAAACACAGGAATATATTAGGCTAATAACAGACAGGCTGTTAATAAAGAATACCAAAGTAAACAGCACTAACGTTTTCATAAACTAATTTAGAGTGTGACCATGATCTATACAGATATATTGCTTAAATTGCTATAATTCTATATATCTATATTCACTCTATAGAATCGTATAGAGAGAAATGGTCCAGCATTGACGCTATGAAGCAATGAGATGTTTCCTTCGCTAACTTTCATCACCTTCACTAACATCTCACCTGTCAGGGGGAATTACTGTGACATCGGGTGTTTGATCTTTCATTTCTTCTTCCCCCAGACGAATTTTATCAATCACCTCTTTCTTTGCTGCTTTCAGCATCTGAATCCAACTGTTTGAAGAAGATAATAAATATCTGTGAGTTCACATATTTCTATATATTCACTATCTGCTGTCTGATCAATGTAGGATTATGAACTACAGATATTATTGTGATATTATATATATTGATATATACGATATTAGATATAAACCCAATGACAGCAATAGAGCCTTTAAACAATTGATTTAGATTATTAAATGATCTAAAAGGGATTGCCATTCATTCTTACTTATTTTTCTCGGAGGTCGAGGTTGTGGTGAATTTGTACAGCTGGGGTGACTCCGACGTATCCATGACAAAGAATGATTCCGGATCTGTAGGAATAAACACAGGATTCCAGGAGAAGAATTAAATTAGCAGATTGAACGGTCAAATAGAAACACTGAGCATGAAAGTCTCCAATGTCGTGTGGATTGTGAGTGCTGATAGTGATGGTCTCTGTATGCATTCCATTTGTGATCATTATCCCCAACCTTATATGTATAATACCGTATTACTGGCATTATAATGTTTCTATATGTATTTTTTACAGATTTCAGTTATTTGTTTTTAAATGAATCGTATAGTATTTATTTACTCCGAGGTAATCTACATTTTAGATGTTCGTTAAAGATTTCATTCCCTGTTATTCCCCAGCATCTATTAATATAAATATAGGTTTCTATCATCAAATATAGAAAGCGTTACAATCACAGCCATTGTATCATCCCATTTATTACTTCTATTTTATTATTATTAGCGTTTATATTTCATCAACTTTTTCATCAGCGCTTTACAATATTATAATAGGGGGAAATTTAACAATAAATTATAAACTTACAAAATGTTACAGGAACAATAGGTTGATGAGGACCCTGGTCAAACGAGCTATTTACAGATTTTACCCCATTCCAGGAGAGAGTGGCGGGTTACCTGTTGCTACAGTGCGGACTAACAGATTGTTCAGCTTGATGACAGGACTGAACACTTTCTTTGTCTTGGTGTTGGGATCCCGTTCTTCCTTACATTTAAGAACCATCTTATTTCTCTTTTTCCGCAGCAGGACGAGCAGGTCATCTAAAAGTAGAGCTTGTACCTCTGCAAGAAACAATGAGTTCTGAGTTAAAACAATGATAGCAGGAAGCCAAGATAAACACCAAATAAACGTAGGTTCCCCTACGTTAAACGATTAATCCAGACATGGACCCCCTGCTCACTGTGCCTAGTGGGGTATCAGCTGCACCTCACTGACAAAGAACCGTCTGATATGCAAATGGCATTGGTTTTAACCCTGAGCGGGGACTAACCAAAACGCAAGCTAGGTTTCTGTAAGCTTTTATCCGTTCACAGAGTTCTCATAATCTCTGTCTTTGTTGCAATACGTATAAATGTTTATTTACAAAAGCCCTAATTGTAGTGAATTGATACAAAAAGAAAAAGCTACATTCTGTGTCTATGTGATAAATTCTGTGACTATAGCGATTAATACCATGCTGAATGTCACTCCAATCTGTTTCATCAAAAGTCCTTCTCGTCTTTATCTGGTAAAAAATATTTTTTTCCAAATATATCGTAACACAGAATATATTTGTTTAATTAACAGATGTAGGCTGTGCTGTTGTTTCTTTGAATAATCTCTCTAACTTGGTCCTGTGTATTTAAAATATTATTGTTGAAATGGCCAGTAATAAAGCCTGCGTTGCTATAGCGATGCAGAGAGATTAATACGTTTATAAGAACACAGTATTATCACACCTCCTCTTACAATGTCCCCATTTATAACAGTGCCGCTAATGTAAGGTAAAGCTTGGAGAGCGATTAGGATTAGGTTCGGATAAAAGGTCGTTTAGAGGGGGCTTAGGGTTGGTTCTGTTTCTGAGTTATGAGAATTTGGGATTTAGGGGGCTATGAGATAAGGTTAACTCCTCATTACATATAATAAGTGTATTCGCGGACTGGACAGGAGATGAAGTTTGATTCTGCCGTATCCACGCTTTTATAGAAGGGAATATTTTCCCATGTTTTCCCTGTTCCTCCACGATTTTATGGCTGGATTCTGTAAAACTGCGCTATTACTGTCTATAATCAGTGAGAAACCATTTCCTATAGAATTACTACCGTATTGTGTTAATGTTGCACAAGGAGATTTCTCTCAATCTTTGTACATACCAGTTGTCTTGTTGTTTGCTCTCTTCCATGTCAGAAGCCCTGCATGGATCAAACGTTTTTTAGTGAGGTCCAAGTCCTGTGGATATGAGAAGAAATTTACTGTGTTACTGATTTACTGATCTGATAGATATAATAAAGATATATATATATATATATATATTGTGCAGTTCCAGTTATAAACACTAGAGGCGCTATGACACTCTTACAGCACGTGCGCTCTGGCTGGAATATTTCCACACATTGTCTACACTGGTTTGTCCCCTGGGTTAATATTTGCCAACCTGCCTCCTAGAATTATGGAATATAATACCCCCAGGCTTACTGCAAACTCTGCTGCCGTGGGATGTTTGCTCTTTTTTAGAGACGTTGTATCCAGATTTTTCTGAATCTCTGCCAGGGTTAGTTGATTCTCAATCCTGGTCATCGATGCCTCTACATCTTTTAGTAGAGCGCAGCACTGTTGCAGGCAGAAATGCAGGTGTTCAATCTCCTCTGATCCTGTGAGATTTGTATAAAGTAAAGATTCTGGGTTATATATATTATCTTTACACTGGTCATTATTATAAAGCTGTACCCTAGAGATGGTTAGACCCATAACGAAGGTCCTACGAGAGCTATTACGGGAAAGGCCATGGACAGTACAGGGGATAATATTTACAGCGCTGCGGAATTTATAAAATAATAATAATAAAAATGTGAGCAATGATTACTATGTAACTAATAGAAAGATGTTGCTGATGTTATTAGAGCAACGTGAACGTGACTGAAAGTTAGTAGGCAATAGATGGACTCACCTTCTGTATGTTTAATGATATTCTCCAGAAGCAGAGGATATTGGGTAACACGCTGCATCTCACACTTAATCAGGTCTTTAAGGAGTTGGGGGCTGCAGGCAGGGTCACGGTCTGCATTCTGGGTTTAATGGACGACAAAGAACAGATGAACAAGAAAAAGAAAAGAAAGAAAACTCTGAAAATAGTGCAATTACAACACAGACGTAGATAATCAATGATTAATACGGCTTAAGAAGAAGATGAGACCTAATTAAAGGTGAGATAAGTAAAGAATTGTAAGAAATACGCATAAACATAAACATATTGCAGCAAACTAAGAAAATATATATTTATAATTTTAAATGCTCTTAACAGCATGTACGTGTTATTTTATTACATTTGACTTTTGTTGCTTTTTATTTTTAAGCTGGTTTATGACACTGAAAGAATGTTTATATTCAATAAATGTCCATATTTTTTAATCTCAGTAAATATTCCTCATCGCTCTGCTGTGATCTCAGACGAGTTTTATTCAGCAGTCAAACCCTTGTAGCTCGATGAAGGCATCCAAACGTGTCAAAATGAATCAAGGTATAGATTTGATGGCTGAATAAAACTCCACTGAAATTACAAAGCAGTGTGCTGGGGGACATTCACTGGTACCATCTACTGAAGTTGGGGAACAGTGACATGTTACATTGTAAATCCTATAGCACTATGTATCACTGACTTAACAATGGATGGAAACTATCAGGTCCAAGTCCTGTAGGAGAGGAGGGAAGGCGTGTAGTAAAACATATAAGGATCCCTCTATCTGGTGGTAGACGTAGTACCTGAATGAATCTCCTGAACCTGGTGTCCTTGCGCTTTTTGCTCTTAATCAGTTCCAGCGCAGAGATCTGGTTACAGCAAAACTTCACTGTTTCCTTCACTATGTCATCAGAAGCTCTGTCAAACTAGAAAACCCAGACAAACAAGAGATAGCGTAATGTTAACACGGAGAAGGCATAGGAGAGAAATGAAGATGAGTTTCTGTTACCAGCTCCTTTTTGTTCTGAAGTACCTGCTGTTAGATGAACAATCCTTCCCATTAAATTAGTTACCGAATTCCAGTAATGTACAAAGGAACAGGGTCCACCCCGGGTGACAGTTGGAAGACGCGTTCAGATAGTATCCACCTCCTGGCTCTGCATTGTATGTACCTGAGTCTATTCATACTACTCCGCAAGGTCTTTCAGTGTTGCTCAGAGTTCATAACATGCAGTATGAGTGGAGGGGACAAGGACTTAACATTATACCCTCCTTTCTACCCATTGCCCTCACCTGCTCACCCTGAGCTGCGTTTTTCTCTAGACAATCCATGCAGGTGGTAGCTAATGGAGGGAACAGAGGTAGTCGGGGGTTGTAGAGATAAAAGGAATCTCAGAGAGATGTAAAAGGGTATGAGGCAGTTCAGGAGAGACAAACAAGGTGATGAGGGAGTTCAAGAGACACATATACTGGTGAGGGAGTTCAGACTGAGTAACGGGATGAAGGAAGAGAGACACACAGAACATAAAGGGGTCAAAAGACATGAACATGAGGAATAGGAGACACATGGGGCATGACAAAAAAGACAACAGTTGGAGCGACGGAGTCAGAAAATACAAAGAAGAGGTGGGAGAGAGACACAGTGGCTGTAGTTATACACAAATGTTAAATTATGAGCGGGTGCCACACACAACTCAACCCTGGGTACTAATACATCTCTGTGGAATTCTTATAAATTCTTCCTTAATGGTTTCCTGACAGAAGTAACACGATATCAATGAAAACTGTATCTCTATTGGAATGTTGCTGTTAATGTCTCCAGAAGAAATACTTCAGACGTATTTCACAGCTAGGACATCCTTACTCATACTCCATCCATGGAAGAATTTTTACATTTTTCGTAATAGGTAACTGATATTGTATGACAGTATTTCTGATTTTTAGTACTCACGTGGGAGAGTAGGATTCCACCAATTGGTTTGACATAAAATCCACCTTCAAGCACCTCCTTCGTTGATTCCAGGAGGGAGTCTGGAGGGAAGGAGAAGAGATGTGAGTATCATAGGAGAGAAAGATTTACATCTTCTGTAGCTCAGTATTTATAGTGCCCTCCTGATAATCGATCCACTGTGTGTTTCAATGCTTGATGTGTGCCCTATGAGCTACAATAGTCTGCTTTGTGTGTAAATCCTCACAGTAGGCTGCAGTTTACTGATAACATGTTTCATTGTTAACATTAAGAGCTAATTACTCATCCATAGGTGGCTCATAAATTGAATATCTCTATGACAGATGGCTGACAGTGGTAGACTGACCACTTAGAATATATAGGTTACATATAGAAACTTAGGGACAGCAAATGGCCTAGTTGTGACAATGCAGCCATTCTCCAGTTGAGGAATTCCTCTTATTTCCCCCTGAATGGCCTGGCATGGTTTTATTTAATCTATGGTATCAAGTACCATGGACAGTCAGGATACCTTTGTGGTAAGTATGGATCCCAGCACTTAGTGAATTTCATTTTTAATTCTTAGCTTATTAAAAGCACACTATGGGCACCAATTTGATCAGTTTGGGGCTCACTGAGTTTTACTCAAGGCTTAATAATAAATGACTGTCAGCCGAGAAGCTGCTGGTCTGCAGAAAATGATGAAAAAGTAACAAATACACTTCAAATATAAGTGGTGTTATATTTAGAGTCCCTATAATGGGTTCCTAACCTTCCATCAGTCCAGTCACAATTACATTCACCTTAACTTTAAGGCATTTGTTCAGTTTTACTGCATACATTAAAAATGTTCCAAATCTTACTGTGGATATTAATGAGCTGCAGAAGGTTAGGGAAGACCAGCTTCACTTCATGCGGAGACAGCAATGCCTCGCTGATTGACTTCTGGTGGAATCCAGAGTTCAGAACACGGAGAGAACGAAGGTGGGACTCTTCAGTCACAATCAGTTCTAGAGCGGAGATAGGAGAATGTATTTAACATGATCAGTGCTTTGTTATGGGAAGACAAGTTATAAAACCATTAATAGAAAACATATTAAGAAATCCAGATTTGACTTACAAACCTTCATACAAGATGGAGGCTGCGGTTGTTCTAGTGATTCCTATTAACTGTTTCAGTACTAATCCTCTTATAGAAACATGAACAGAGGGAACACTGTGAGTTATACAATTATCTGTGTACACCAAACCAACTTGTTGGGGATCAATAGTTTTGGGAATGTGTGTTTTGGGGTACAATCTGCGCAGTTAGTTACCTTGTTGCTCTTATAAGGCTGTAAGAACCCTTAGGCAGGAAGTGTTATGGGGTATATCCCACATTCTTATCCTTTAATATTGTAGTGGAATGGACGTTTACAAGCTATTATTATTTCCCTTTAATGGCTGTCCGTATCTTTCCCCCCTGTTATTTCACGAACGGTGTTCGGGAGATATAAAGTACCAAACAGGGGGAGCATTCGTATTGTGAAAGCAAGAGATTCCCTTGTATGGTGTTCGCACAGGAACCTCACGAACAGAGACCAGCCTGGAACTATTTTCAGGCTACCACCTCATGTCTGGCCCGTCAAATCTTCCACACGATGCCATTCTTGTTCTAACGAACCGAGTGATTCTTGGATATGTTGGTCACGTTGGTCACTCAGATCGGGGCTATCAGTGAATGTACTTTTTGTGGGATTCCTATGTATGGTTGGGGGACTTTTGGGGTAAGGGATATTTCTGGGATTTTTTGTGCTTGAGAAATAATAAAATTGGAGAAGTTTACACGGGCAATTATCTCTCAGACACAAAGGATCCTGGGATTGAAACCCTTGCATTTTCTGTCTGTGAAACTCCTTGCATGGGAGATGGCATAAAAGCCATGTATGTGACAATAAAAATCAGTTATACCCTCAGAGCTGAGTGTCGTCCAGTTGCTGGAGATGAGGTGGGAGATTCCTGGATTATTTTACTGTGTTGGGCTGTTACATTGGAGTATTCTACTTATTCCTGAGTATATCTTAGAGTACCTAGCGGAGGAGAGTCCGTGCTAGGACTAGGGCTCCATTACAAATATGATAACACATTGACTGACATTGTAACTCATTGTCACATAATGTACCCCTTTCCATCTCATTAGAGATTTTATCTTTTAGCTGAATACAGCAATGTGAATTGTTAGTGTAGGACTCGCCTAAGAGGTTTGCCGTGACTTGGCAGGTGAGCTTACACTTGAAAGGCCATTGGATACTAAAAACCTCCAATTATTTAAATGTGCATAGGGATTTGGGAGAGTGCAAAAGTAACTTTTTTGTTTGTTTTATTTACACAAATTGGAGCTGATGTGTACTACAGTCATTGGTGCCACCCAGGAAACATAGAATGTGACGGCAGATACGAACCATTTGGCCCATCTAGTCTGCCCAATTTTCTAAAATACTTTCATGAGTCTCTTATATCCAAGATAGCCTTATGCCTATCCCACGCATGCTTAAACTTCTTCACTGTATTAACCTCTACCACTTCAGCTGGAAGGCTATTCCATGCATCCACTACCCTCTCAGTAAAGTAATACTTCCTGATATTATTTTTAAACCTTTGTCCCTCTAATTTGAGACTATGTCCTATTGTTGTGGTAGTTTTTCTTCTTTTAAATATGGCCTCCTCCTTTACTGTGTTGATTCCCTTTATGTATTTAAGTTTCTATCATATCCCCCTGTCTTGTCTTTTTCCATTTTTCTAGTTTATCTAAATCATTTGAATACCAATCAAAGGTTGCCTCTTTTTACAGAGGAGTGTGTATAACAAAAGTGCTCAAAAGAGTCAAAAAGTGATTTACAGGCAGCTCAATACACTAGTGTGGAAATATCCTCTATTCCACTGAATAAATTTAGTAGATATTGGTGCGGTGTCTGATTGAATCTGATTGGACAGAATGAACTTAACTCATTAAAGGGGAAGACCCAGATGACATTTAAAATGGAGGATTCAGAGGACCAACATTACAGCTGACTGAAGAAGCTCTATTTGAGAGTGAAACACGTATTGGCCATTTTTAAAGGACTTTTATTTGAGGACTTTTATCATCTTTGTTTTTATGTTTATTTTAAACTTATAAATTCACCATTTTCATTCAATACCTCATCCAAGTTCTTTTTGGAGCCTCCAAGGAATCCTCACAGGGGTAGTGCCATCCCCATTCAAATTGGCACAAAATCCACATACCTAGAGCCGGGATTCGTAGGCTCAGGACCAGGTGAGCACCCCATTTATTGAACACATATCTGTGTCATTTATCACCATAAGTCTACACATTGGTTTGCTTTCTTCTCTTTTTTCGTGTTCTCGAGAAATTCTTCAAGCCGAAGTAGGAGGGTGCTGCTACCATAACAGCACACAAGCCTTTATACGGAGCCAGTGTTTTCTATATACAGGTTCCTTGAAATGTGAGTGTAATATTCAACACGATATTATTATAATCACTGTGAAGCCATTTTTTAGTACCATCTACACTATATTGTATTTTCTGTATTTTATTTTGACATGTACCCCATATTTTACCATTGAATGAGACTACGTTTTGGTAAGATTTATCTGTGTTTGAGCGCTCCACTTATAGGTGTAGGTCCTTGTCACTTACACCGCACCAATATCTACTATATCTAAATCATTTGCCATTTGGCTTATCCCTCCTGGAACATCAACCCTGTTACATATCTTAGTATCATCAGCAAAAAGACATACCTTACCATCAAGACCTTCTGCAATATCACTAATAAAAACATTAAAGAGAATTGGTCCAAGTACAGATCCCTGAGGTACCCCACTAGTGACAAGCCCATGCTTAGAATATACTCCATTGACTACAGCCCTATGTTGCCTATCACTCAGCCACTGCCTTACCCATTCAACAATATTGGAATCCAAACTTAAAGATTGCAGTTTATTGATAAGCCTTCTATGTGCAACACTGTCAAAAGCCTTACTGAAATCTAGGTAAGCAATGTCTACTGCACCACCCTGATCTATTATTTTAGTTACCCAATCCAAAAAATCAATAAGATTAGTTTGGCATGATGTCCCTGAATTAAACCCATGTTGTCAAAGATGGGAGTAGTGGGAGTTTGAGTGCAGGACGTAATTTAAATAAATGACAAGTGTTGTTATCACGGAATAAGCAGGATGTGGGCAGAGCAGGTATAAAAATACGTGGAGTTTGCAATAAAGTGATTAGAACAAGGACAGCCTGGCGCTTCGCCATTGATTATCCCCTGCACCATCCCTTCCACATATATGGCATAAAGTGTCTCTCTGTGCAGTTTAATAACATCAGATACCATTCGTCCCCCTGCTACCGTTCGTCCCCCTGCTGCCCTCAAGCAATCTCCTGTGTTTGTTTCTAAAGGAAATAGCTGGAGATATGTATGAAAATTACCCAGATACACACCCAACCCATCACACTTTATTCTAGGTGTATAATCATTGTAACACTTACCATGTATTGCCTCATGTCTCTTAATTTCTCGTGGTTTTAACCGAGAAGTCACATCCGAATCCTCGGTCTCTGACCAGGTCACACTAGCCCTGAAAGTAAACAGATGGCGTTAGGATTCTCAGCGCACTGACTGAACTAGCGAGCATGAGCACATATCTGGTAATGTAAGCACATGTGTAGGACGCTTTGTGCTAGAGTAATAAATATGGACAAATATCTTTGGTATTAAAACTTTGGAAGGTGGAACAGTGGATATACCAGATCTAAACGTAGATACATTTCTTTCACAATGTACTACACTCACAATTGTGAATAGAGCAGTTCATAGTGATTGTCCTCAGAGATCCATCATGTAGCCCCATGTAGCAAAAGCGCAGCTTAGTGGAAAGGGGCCTTGACGAGGCTAGGAGGCTGGCATAGGAGGAAGTATGTAGGGATTGGTGGTTAGGAGTTTAAAAGTTTGGCTATATAAATAGGCAGCCATCTTAGAAAAATCCCTTTTAACTTGTCTACCTGGCTGAGTTTGTCCCTCCCTGAGTTATGGATAAGGTTGGGTTGTCCCGTTCTGTCACAGGCGGGATAGGGAGCTGAAGGATAGGAAATGGGCTCCCCATTAGGATGGTTATGGAAATGGTTGAATACGGTTATTGGTAAGTTTGGTAGGTTTCGAGCCCTGTCGGTGGCTCAGAACCTGGTGGGGTAGGGGTATCCGGGTATATACCTACCATGGTTAATTAAAATGTATGTTATTTATATTGGGGTCATTGCCTTTTATATCTAACTGAAGGACGTGGATGTGATGGCAGGGTTTGGGGCAATGACCTTTTTCTATGTTAATTTATTACTATTTAATAAAAGCTGTGGACAATTGTAGTGTCCGTGTTTTATTGGGAAAGGTATGTGGGGGGTTTTGTCCTGGTTCCGCCTGCCCATATGGCGACTCTGCACCTGTCATGCAACCAGTCCTTTATATTGTATTTATGACTATTAGCAATAAGAGTAATTATCTATTATAATTATTAAAAAATCCATATTGTGTGGGAGGACCACGACTACTTAAGGAACTAAGTGTGGAAAGAAGTGAACCTCTGTTTGTTATCTTTCGAGATTTTTTTCTTGGGGGCAAAACGGATGGTTTCCAAGTGGTTCCAGAGAATAGAATGGCCGTACTGGGTAACCTACTACAGAAAGACAGGAATACATTTACTCAGATATAAAGAGGACTATTGAAAGATCTGCTCTATAATACTAATAAATATACACTGAAACCCTACATATAGCACAGGCTGGAGAAAAGAGTCCAACTGGGATAAAAAGCTAGAATCAAACTCTTTTACACAAAGAGATGTAGACGCAGGGAATGGTGAACCGGCAGAGATGGTAAATATTGTTACAGTGAATGATTACCAGGGAGCCTGAGACACACACGTTTTTTGTTTTTTCTCTAAAAGTAAGTTAAAGCAAACTAAAACCTAGTGGCGAACTTTTGGCAATAAACGCTGATTTTAAAACGAATATCTACAAAAGCAAAATAATACTAACAGAGATATTTCCTTGGGTCCCCTTAGGTGTTTGGTATAAAAATTAAGATATTTTTATTAAACCCTGGGAGCATTAAATACACAACAACAAAGGAAATTGTATTATTCCGGCCGGAGTAACACAATCCCTGTGTTAAATCTGATCGATATCACCTAGCATGCCGTCTTATCTGACTGCGGACTCAATGTAATAGTGTTGGATAGGCTATCCAAATGAGTTCATATTTTTGGTAAAATATTTCAAAATAACTAATTTTATTAAAACTATTTTAATTTTGTTGCTTTTTTTAAATAATTTTTTATTTATTTATATATCTTGATATATTATATATTTTTGATATTTTAATATTTTAAAAATAAAGTTTATCTAAAAATATTAAATCATTTGCAAAGTTTACCCAACAATATTGAATTGAAGCGTACATATCTGTCCTCTCTGGAACCTGGGCAGATATTGACCAGTAAATGACCAGCATAGGTGGCATTGCCAGTTTAAATAGTGTTCCCACCTTGTAAATTCTTAACCTAAAACCCAGTTTCTAACCCCCTGGCACAAGCTCCCAGTGGATTGCTTTTGAAATGGCCACGGTGTAACTGAATGATCATTTAATTTTCTACTTACATATTCAACGGTTTGTGTCAAAGAGCCTTGGCCAAGCAGGCTAAAGGATTAGTCCAACAATAAGGAGCTAAACCGAATCTATCACACCAGCCAAGGGAAGCGATCAGTACTGCTCTGTGCTCAGCATAGATACTGACTGGCATGAAACATCACATCATAGTCTTAGTTAAGGTGTCAGTTGATTATGTCATGTAAATGACATCAATGCACCTGTGTAACATTTTCTGCCCAGGCTCTGGCTGTGTCAGTTGATTATGAGCACATCCATAAAATTCTAGTCCAATGAAAATGAAGGTGTCAGTTTTAAAGGGACAGTAACATAATTTACCATCCAATTTACCTTTAATAGAAGTCTTTTCAAGATTTATTTTAAAAATCTTTTTAAAAATAAAACCGGGGAAAACCCACAACATTTCTATTTCGAATAAAGGCTCAGGATTCCAGTTTATAGTAACAGAATCATGATTTATATAGCATGTCTTATACTGTCTCTGAATTCTGCATACTTATAATGTATTATATATATACTGTATACAGGTCTCAGAATTTCCACCTTCCATCGGCGAGTGACAGTTCAGCCCTGGCTAGTAGGAATGTACCCCTGTTGAGTAAGCCATAGTTCCTCCAAACTTGCAGGGGGAAGAAAAAAAGGATTTGGTGAATGAAAGTACAGTGGAATGCAGACCGTAAACAACATAAAATGGAAATTAATCTAAAAATGATCAAAATGTATTAAAACCATAATAATTAACCTTAGCAGTGGAATTCATGGAATCCAAAATAAAGTCCACATAAATAGTAGTGAGGACCCTCGGTGAGAGTCAAAAGAAACGTCCAATCCTGGGACTAAAATATAGGAATTCAAATTAAACGTGCATCCAATTGTTCCTTCAGACCTGTAGGGGCTTGCATCTCGGAAAGATAAGTCCACTTTGACTCCACATATAGTAGTTTTATGAGTCTTGTAGTTGGATCATCTTGTGGAGGTGTGCAAACAATCTCCATAGCTGATAGACTGTTATTGTCTGGATTATGGAAGTTACTAGAGTAAATTACAAGAGTGCTATTGATATTATTGGTAATATAAGAATTCCTATGCTCCCTAAAGCTAGATTTTAGGGGCCTTCTAGTCTGTCCCACATATTGTAAACCACATCCATGTGTCAACAAATAAACTACATGTGATGTGCTACATGTGATGTGGCGTTGGACCTTGTGTGAGGAAAGATTAAACCCGGACCTGAAAAAAGTGGCTCCATGTAGTATGTAACCATTTATTAAATAATTAAGGGACACTGTAGGCACCCAGACCACTTCATATACAAACACAAAGATAAAGCACCGCGCTTACAGCAGCAGTGGCTTAGTATCCAACAGCTTAAAATACATAGTAAAAACAAAGAAAACGTTACCTGCGCTCTGGCCTAAATCCCCATGTGCATTTAAACAAAAATGGAGGCTCTTTAGTTTAATTCTAATGGCCATTTGAATATATAAGCTCACCTGCCACGTCAAGGCAAGCCTCAATAGGTGAGTATAGAAGCCCTATAAAGGGTTAAATGTTAAAGGGTTTATAAAATACCCCTTCCTGTCTCACTGGAGACTCTTGGCTGATATCAGCATATCTAATGGCTAGTGTAGGAACTCACCTATTGAGGCTTGCCTTGACGTTGCAGGTGAGCTTATATATTCAAATGGCCATTAGAATTAAACTAAAGAGCCTCCATTTTTGTTTAAATGCACATGGGGATTTAGGCCAGAGCGCAGGTAACGTTTTATTTGTTTTTACCCAGACCACTTCAGCTCATTGGAGTGGCCTGGGTGCCAACTCTCATCATTCGCGTAATTATTGCAGTGTTTATAAACTGCAACAATTACCTTGCTGGGTTAAGTCCTCCTCTAGTGCCTGTCTTCCGGCTTCTTAGACGACTTTTGGTCACCTAAACAATGCTGGACATTCTCACGCTATGCATGAGGACCTCCATCGTTGCTGGAATCCCCATATATATAATAATATAATAATGCTGTCCTATGGGGAGGTCTAATGCACGCGCAGCCATTGCCGAGGGACATCAGCGCTGGATTCAGGTGACTGAGGGGGTTTTAACCCCTTCAGCAACATGGGATGGGGGGCGGGAGGAAGGGGGGCCCTTCAAGATTCTACTGTGCCAAGAAAATGGGTTTGTTTCCTGGCACTAGAGAATCCCTTTATGGTGGCCACACTTAATATTCCCAGAATTAAGAGGGTTCTTATGTGAACCTTCTAACTGTTCTTTTTAATGTAGCAGATGTTAGAAAGCTCAACAAACCGTAGTCATCTCCGGTATGTTCTAAAGTAGTGTAATGGTAACAAGAGTAGCAACTCGTGCCTGTAACTGGGGATGTAAAAGGAGTTCCTGATAGAATATTATCACCTTATGGGACACTATCTAAATCACTTGTTTCTAGATCTAATCTTTCATAATCTATCAGTAAGCAACAGGGATTACCTCAAAAATTCCTTAAGTAGAGAGCAATTTGTGTGAATGCGTATACATTCCCAATGGAGACATTTCTGATCCTCGGTGGATGGTGAGTACTGCTGGCATGATGATATCCCTTAACTTTTTCATGGTAATTATGTGTAAATATGAAATACATTATGACTGCGATGACCAAAGGCAGGTCCTCAGACGTTCTACAACTGAAGTTTTCAAGAAACTTTGCTAATCTCTAGAACTGCAAAGCATCATGGAAGCTGCAGTTCAACAACATCTGGAGATCTAACATTTGCACACCCCTGCCTTATGCCATTGAAGTTCAAATACAAAAATGTAATGTGTGACTCATGCGTAGTGTATGTTAAGGTAACACCCTTACAAGGGAGGTCATTGTAAATGTACAACTTTTAAAATGATCTATAAATAGCCCCCATTACCACATAATTATCTTTATTTCTATTTATACTGCACCTGGGTGGTCTCAGTTTGTATTTCTCTCTTGGTATTCCTGTCTGGGAGTGATGGGAGCTGCAGACCAATCTCAGAGGGATTGGGATCATATTACTGACCAAGGGTGGGACAGCCAGGAATAGGATTGGGGGCCACATCCCCATGGGTGTGACAGCAGGTTAGTGCCCCAATGTCTGGCCCTGTTAAGGAGATTAAACTCTAGAATGACATGTATTGCAGGACAGGGACACTCCTGAGGCTCAGAGCTGTGTAAATGTGTCCAATATTACAAATAGTCTTTATCTAACAGACCCTATAAGGAATCAATAGTCATTGTGGATAATCACGTGTCATCACAGATGTCACCACGAGGTGGCGATAAAGACACACACAGATCCCCTCTGTACCTGATACCTTTGCCTTAACTTGGGAGCGTGAGAACTATGAGTCCAGCCACACTGTGATTGGTCGCTTGTCCTATCACTCTGAGCCCACTGTGCAGACAGCGGCCAATGACATGCCGGGGGCGGGAGGTCCAGCTGGTCGCTGGATAGATCCATTGTAGATGGGGAGGGGAGCTCCCAGGACTCTCAGACTGGACACAGGTAAAGGCACATACTGGGCTCTATGGGAGGGGGAGGGGGGAGGGGGTAACAGAGAGAGATACAGAGATACAATGTATACTGATAGAGAATGGCATTATATACAGAGATACAGTGTATACTGATAGAGAATGGCATTATATACAGAGATACAGTGTATACTGATAGAGAATGGCATTATATACAGAGATACAGTGTATACTGATAGAGAATGGCATTATATACAGAGATACAGTGTATACTGATAGAGAATGGCATTATATACAGAGATACAGTGTATACTGATAGAGAATGGCATTATATACAGAGATACAGTGTATACTGATAGAGAATGGCATTATATACAGAGATACAGTGTATACTGATAGAGAATGGCATTATATACAGAGATACAGTGTATACTGATAGAGAATGGCATTATATACAGAGATACAGTGTATACTGATAGAGAATGGCATTATATACAGAGATACAGTGTATACTGATAGAGAATGGCATTATATACAGAGATACAGTGTATACTGATAGAGAATGGCATTATATACAGAGATACAGTGTATACTGATAGAGAATGGCATTATATACAGAGATACAGTGTATACTGATAGAGAATGGCATTATATACAGAGATACAGTGTATACTGATAGAGAATGGCATTATATACAGAGATACAGTGTATACTGATAGAGAATGGCATTATATACAGAGATACAGTGTATACTGATAGAGAATGGCATTATATACAGAGATACAGTGTATACTGATAGAGAATGGCATTATATACAGAGATACAGTGTATACTGATAGAGAATGGCATTATATACAGAGATACAGTGTATACTGATAGAGAATGGCATTATATACAGAGATACAGTGTATACTGATAGAGAATGGCATTATATACAGAGATACAGTGTATACTGATAGAGAATGGCATTATATACAGAGATACAGTGTATACTGATAGAGAATGGCATTATATACAGAGATACAGTGTATACTGATAGAGAATGGCATTATATACAGAGATACAGTGTATACTGATAGAGAATGGCATTATATACAGAGATACAGTGTATACTGATAGAGAATGGCATTATATACAGAGATACAGCGTATACTGATAGAGAATGGCATTATATACAGAGATACAGTGTATACTGATAGAGAATGGCATTATATACAGAGATACAGTGTATACTGATAGAGAATGGCATTATATACAGAGATACAATGTATACAGATAGAGAATGGCATTATATACAGAGATACAGTGTATACTGATAGAGAATGGCATTATACACAGAGATACAGCGTATACTGATAGAGAATGACATTATATACAGAGATACAGAGTATACAGATAGAGAATGGCATTATATACAGAGATACAGTGTATACTGATAGAGAATGGCATTATATACAGAGATACAGCGTATACTGATAGAGAATGGCATTATATACAGAGATACAGCGTGTACTGATAGAGAATGGCATTATATACAGAGATACAGCGTGTACTGATAGAGAATGGCATTATATACAGAGATACAGCGTATACTGATAGAGAATGGCATTATATACAGAGATACAGCGTATACTGATAGAGAATGGCATTATATACAGAGATACAGTGTGTACTGATAGAGAATGGCATTATATACAGAGATACAGTGTATACAGATAGAGAATGGCATTATACACAGAGATACAGAGTATACAGATAGAGAATGGCATTATATACAGAGATACAGCGTATACTGATAGAGAATGGCATTATATACAGAGATACAGCATGTACTGATAGAGAATGGCATTATATACAGAGATACAGTGTATACTGATAGAGAATGACATTATATACAGAGATACAGTGTATACTGATAGAGAATGGCATTATATACAGAGATACAGTGTATACTGATAGAGAATGGCATTATATACAGAGATACAGTGTATACTGATAGAGAATGGCATTATATACAGAGATACAGTGTATACTGATAGAGAATGGCATTATATACAGAGATACAGTGTATACTGCTAGAATGGCATTATATGCAGAGATACAGTGTATACTGATAGAGAATGGCATTATATACAGAGATACAGTGTATACTGCTAGAATGGCATTATATGCAGAGATACAGTGTATACTGATAGAGAATGGCATTATATACAGAGATACAGTGTATACTGATAGAGAATGGCATTATATACAGAGATACAGTGTATACTGATAGAGAATGGCATTATATACAGAGATACAGTGTATACTGATAGAGAATGGCATTATATACAGAGATACAGTGTATACTGATAGAGAATGGCATTATATACAGAGATACAGTGTATACTGATAGAGAATGGCATTATATACAGAGATACAGTGTATACTGATAGAGAATGGCATTATATACAGAGATACAGTGTATACTGATAGAGAATGGCATTATATACAGAGATACAGTGTATACTGATAGAGAATGGCATTATATACAGAGATACAGTGTATACTGATAGAGAATGGCATTATATACAGAGATACAGTGTATACTGATAGAGAATGGCAATATACACAGAGATACAGTGTGTACTGATAGAGAATGGCAATATACACAGAGATACAGTGTGTACTGATAGAGAATGGCATTATATACAGAGATACAGTGTATACTGATAGAGAATGGCATTATATACAGAGATACAGTGTATACTGATAGAGAATGGCATTATATACAGAGATACAGTGTATACTGATAGAGAATGGCATTATATACAGAGATACAGCGTATACTGATAGAGAATGGCATTATATGCAGAGATACAGTGTATACTGATAGAGAATGGCATTATATACAGAGATACAGTGTATACTGATAGAGAATGGCATTATGTACACAGAGATACAAAGTGTATACTGATAGAGAATGGCATTATACACAGAGATACAGTGTATACTGATAGAGAATGGCATTATACACAGAGATACAGTGTATACTGATAGAGAATGGCATTATACACAGAGATACAGCGTGTACTGATAGAGAATGGCATTATATACAGAGATACAGTGTATACAGATAGAGAATGGCATTATATACAGAGATACAGCGTGTACTGATAGAGAATGGCATTATATACAGAGATACAGCGTGTACTGATAGAGAATGGCATTATATACAGAGATACAGCGTGTACTGATAGAGAATGGCATTATATACAGAGATACAGCGTATACTGATAGAGAATGGCATTATATACAGAGATACAGCGTATACTGATAGAGAATGGCATTATATACAGAGATACAGCGTGTACTGATAGAGAATGGCATTATATACAGAGATACAGCGTGTACTGATAGAGAATGGCATTATATACAGAGATACAGCGTGTACTGATAGAGAATGGCATTATATACAGAGATACAGCGTGTACTGATAGAGAATGGCATTATATACAGAGATACAGCGTATACTGATAGAGAATGGCATTATATACAGAGATACAGCTGCATACTGATAGAGAAATGGCATTATATACAGAGATACAGCCGTGATACTGATAGAGAGAAATTTGGCATTATATACAGAGATACAATGATACTGATAGAGAGAATGGCATTATATACAGAGATACAGTGTATACTGATAGAGAATGGCATTATATACAGAGATACAGTGTATACTGATAGAGAATGACATTATATACAGAGATACAGTGTATACTGATAGAGAATGGCATTATATACAGAGATACAGTGTATACTGATAGAGAATGGCATTATATACAGAGATACAGAGTATACTGATAGAATGGCATTATATACAGAGATACAGTGTATACTGATAGAGAATGGCATTATATACAGAGATACAGTGTATACTGATAGAATGGCATTATATACAGAGATACAGTGTATACTGATAGAGAATGGCATTATATACAGAGATACAGTGTATACTGATAGAGAATGGCATTATACACAGAGATACAGTGTATACTGATAGAGAATGGCATTATACACAGAGATACAGTGTATACTGATAGAGAATGGCATTATACACAGAGATACAGTGTATACTGATAGAGAATGGCATTATACACAGAGATACAGTGTATACTGATAGAGAATGGCATTATATACAGAGATACAGTGTATACTGATAGAGAATGGCATTATATACAGAGATACAATGTATACAGATAGAGAATGGCATTATATACAGAGATACAGTGTATACTGATAGAGAATGGCATTATATACAGAGATACAGTGTATACTGATAGAATGGCATTATATACAGAGATACAGAGTATACTGATAGAGAATGGCATTATACACAGAGATACAGTGTATACTGATAGAATGGCATTATATACAGAGATACAGTGTATACTGATAGAGAATGGCATTATATACAGAGATACAGTGTATACTGATAGAGAATGGCATTATATACAGAGATACAGTGTGTACTGATAGAGAATGGCATTATATACAGAGATACAGCGTATACAGATAGAGAATGGCATTATATACAGAGATACAGCGTATACTGATAGAGAATGGCATTATATACAGAGATACAGCGTATACTGATAGAGAATGGCATTATATACAGAGATACAGCGTGTACTGATAGAGAATGGCATTATATACAGAGATACAGCGTGTACTGATAGAGAATGGCATTATATACAGAGATACAGCGTGTACTGATAGAGAATGGCATTATATACAGAGATACAGCGTGTACTGATAGAGAATGGCATTATATACAGAGATACAGCGTGTACTGATAGAGAATGGCATTATATACAGAGATACAGCGTATACTGATAGAGAATGGCATTATATACAGAGATACAGCGTATACTGATAGAGAATGGCATTATATACAGAGATACAGCGTATACTGATAGAGAATGGCATTATATACAGAGATACAGC